GCTATGTTGAGAAAGTGCTGGAAAGGTTTGAGATGAGCAATGCAAAGCCTGTGAGCACTCCTTTGGCAAATCATTTTAAGCTTTCTTCAGAACAGTGTCCTAAGACAGATACAGAAATGGAAGACATGGCTAAGGTTCCATATGCCAGTGCAGTTGGCTGCTTGATGTATGCTATGGTATGTACGCGTCCTGATTTGGCTCATGCTGTTAGTCAAGTTTGCAAATACATGGCTAAACCTGGAAGGCGACATTGGGAAGCAGTCAAGTGGATTTTCAGGTATCTGAAGGGTACTGTAGGACATGGAATTATTTTTGGCAGTCAGAAGAATGATCCTTCAATTGTAGGGTACGTTGATTCAGATTACACAGGTGATTTGGATGGCAGAAGGTCTACAACTAGGTATGTGTTTACTCTTGGTGGAGGACCTATATGTTGTAAATCAACAATTTAGTCTATTGTGGCATTATTTACAACTGAAGCTGAGTACATGACAGTAGCTGAAGCTGCTAAAGAAGCCTTATGGCTTGCTAGGCTAGTAAAGGAATTGGGCGTTGAGCAAGGTGAAGTTCAGTTGCATAGTGACAGTCAGATTGCTATTTATCTGGCTAAAAACCAGGTGTATCATGTGAGAACCAAGCACATTGATGTCAGGTATCACAAGATCAGAGAGTTGATTGCTTCTGGGGGATACTGTTGCAGAAGGTTCATACTGATGAGAATGCAGTTGATATGTTGACCAAGTCAGTTACTATCAACAAGCTCTTGCATTGCTTGGACTTCTTAAATGTTTGCAGTTGTTAAAGAAGCATGGTGGCCCAACCCACAGTGGTGCAGGTGTAACTCCCAGATATTTTTTCTCCTAAAGAGCTGGATATTCGCCAAGGTGGAGATTTGTTATGGTATGGCTCATATATCATATAGGGACAGAGTCTAGATCAAAGCGGAGCGGAGCGGAGCAGAAGAATCTGTCCAAATTGGGAAGTTACGTGGGCTGGGGTGCGGGGGCAAAGCCCCGCGGTATGATACAGGGGTAATGTTGTAATTACATATTGTGTCTAGGGTTTACTCCTGGGGTTATAAATAGATTTATTAGTAACCCCAAAACGTATCTCTCTATTCTGTAAAATCCTTTTCTGATTATTGAAAGGAACTCACCGCTTTGCTCCCGAAGACGTAGGCATCTTTGCCGAACCTCGTTAAATCTTTGTGTTCTTCTAGATTTGTGTCGATTACTATTTTTCTTCGCTCTAATTTTCTCAAAACAGTTCAACCAATTCTTATGTGTTTATATATATCTCACACCTAAACCTCGATTTTTACAAATATGCCACCTTATATATTCTATGTTATATGTATATGTATGTATATGTATATATATATATATATATGTCTACGTGTCTACATATGTATTTATGCCTATGTATGTATCTTTTTATCTGTATATGTGTCTATATATATATATATATATGCATGAAAAATTGTATTTTATTATTATATTTCTAAAAAAATAAAATAAAATAGTGGTTTTTTTTTTATGTGATGAAAAGTTTAAGTGCTAGAAATATAGAAAGTAAAATTCACAAGTGAGATGTAAATACATAGGAATTGGGTAGAATGTATGTAAATGCCCCTAACATAGAACAATCAAATAGAAATGGAGCTTTAAAACCTAAAAAGAACGTTTTTGTGTGCATATGAGACAGAGGGAGAGGGATGAAATTCCATATAAGGCTACAAAAAATTCTGTAAAATAGAACATGGCACATTGAGTCCTCTTTCTCTCCCTCAGCCTATATGGTTAGTGCTAATGAAGATCCTTTTAAAGGGTAAATATGCTGACCTTTGTGGAAGGAATCGTATAAAGTTTCATTCTGTCATGGGATTTGGTGTACAGATCAAATTGTGAAGCCTCATAAAGTCCTCTAATTTAAGTTTTTGTGGTCTCGCTATTGCTTACCCTTGGCACATTCTGAATTTGAGCTTTCCGCCGAACTATCAAATGTCTCAACATGGGAATCCACTTCTTTTGTTCCATCTACCAAACAAGCAACGTGAACATTTCCTCCCATGGATTCAGGATACTTTTCTGGAAATAAGCATTTTCCATGCTCATTAATCCCTACAACTAGCTTGCTGTGACCTCAATAATGGCCCTCTTTGCTTGGAAGTCATCACGTACCAGACCGATGATATCCGCGTCAAAATCTATCCATTCACCATCTTCGCAATCCCATTCACCCATTTTGGAATAGAGTTTCCAGTCAATTTGTAACAGACGTCCCTGCAGAAATAGTTGCAGTTCTTAACAGCTAAATGATATTTATCACCACTGTAGTTTGCAGAATGATGTTCCATAAACTCCCTGACCTGAATTGGATCGAGGCAAGTTGTGCCCATGAATATAGACTTCCTAAATCTGAAGGTTGAGCATAGGCTCCACCTCAAACACTCCGCTCGTTGGATAATTGTGCGCCCCAAATGCATACTCCACACCATAAACTTCAACCCCAAAGTGGAATATGCCCAGCCATCGCCACTGCATTGCATATCAATGTGCGTTTATGACTCAAGCCACCATTTGCTTCGACATATATGTAACCATTAGATTCAGGCAAACCGCTTGTGTTCATGTTTATATAGGGTTTCCAACCATCAACTCTGCTAGCAAGTTTCCATACACTTACCAGCCGGTCGAAGGAGTTATTCGCGTCCATGTCCGCACAGAGTCGTTAATAGAGCCGCGGACTCCGGTAAACCAGGGGGCGGTCAGCAGATGATCGCAGGAACACTATCAAGCGAGACGGTGCCCATATCGAGCAGCATCCCGCATACGTATATCAGCGGCGCAAAGAGGAAGATCGCCTGCCTCTTGAGAAGTTGAGAGAGCAGCATCCACGCCATCCTCTGCGCCAGGCAGTAAACTCCGAGTGCCAACGCCGCTACCATCCTTCGTCTCCCGCCGGTGCATCCTCGTAGACCTCCTCGGCAAAGCCGGCGGCGACGGTGTCCCGCTTCCGCCGTTCGTTATCGAGGTGCAGCTACCACCGATGCCGATGCTACCCATGCGGATGTAAGTCTGGTTCGGCATCATAATCTTGATTTTCACTATCAATGCTCGTCTTCTTCGTTGTCCTCCTATTCGCACCTCTGTGTCATCGACTTGCGCTTGCTTTTGACCCGGAGAAAGAAAAGAAGAAAAGACGGAGGAAGGGGCGCGGTGGCGGACGAGACGCCAGAAGAGGCGATGTTCTCTGGGGGCAAAACTCTGATAACTCAAGACCACAATAAGTTTTTTAGTCCTCTTTCTCACATTTCACCTGCTCAATTCACTATATATATATATATATAACATAATATATGTTGAGGCTATATATATATATATATATAGACCAATGACACATATTTAAATAGTCAAATGATTGTTGTACCTATTAGCTATTTAAACATCTTTATAAACTAGGCTTTGCCTTAGTTCCCATAATTGAGAGTCACCATAACAAATCTCCACCTTGACTTCTCATTACAATGATTGTTGTACCCATTAGCTATTTAAACATCTTTATAAACTAAGCTTTGTCTTAGTTCACATAATTGGGAGTCACCATAACAAATCTACACCTTGACTGCCCATTACAAACCTCCATAATAGAGATTCCCTCCACCTAGCCCTAAGAGGTCTGAGTCATTGTCTCCCTTGACACTTGCTTAGAGCCTTGTCACCCAAGCTCAAGACTATCACAATATTTGCTCTGTCTAAGATAATGTTCTTTTCTCTCTCGGGCATCTCGGTTAGCAATGTCGCAGGCCGCTGCAATGCTTCTGCGACACATTGTTGCACTAACAGGACTCTCATCTAGACTCTCCACAAGTTGAAATTGTTATTTCTGGTGAATTTCTTGATGTAGATTTTAGCATATCCCATTTTCGTGGCTAGAATTTCCCACAGATGACGTTAACTGTTGAAAATCTGCACCACCAAACACCTAGACAACTGAAGAAAAGGAAAAAAGAAAAGAAACTAAAAGAAGAAAATTGTGATCAAGAACACATAATTTTTACGTGGTTCAGTCCATAAGACCTACATACACAGAAGGGAAATCAACCATCAATTCACTAAAGCAATAAAACAAGATTAGATAGCTTTTCATTAAGAGATGAGTTTTATCATACCCTCTCTCTCGAACCAACTCGATAAAAGATCCCCAAGATGATCTCCTCAATTTCTTGAAGCCTATCCTTTTCTTTCTTGAACCAATTCTTTTCTTTTTTCTATTTTAAAACCCACTCTACATGTACCCTCATTATTTATAAATAATGAGCTATCCTCATGTAGATCACTCCACCAATTAGAAGCTTCCATTCTTCTTTAACAGTTGTTGATAGAATTACGACTCTGACTTTGTCTTAGTCCAGTAATTGTGAGTCATTGTAGCAGTTCTTCACCTTTAATCTCAATTATAGAGCTCTATAATAGAGATTCCCTCCATCTGGCCCCAAAGGGGCCCTTAGCTCTTGGTTGGGTTCACTAAGTCCAGACAATATCTGAACTTAGTTGTGGGTAGCACCTTAGTGAGCATGTCAGTTGGATTCTCTTCAGTGGGTATCTTCTCCACTACTATTGAACCCTTAACAACAACATCCCTGACAAAATGAAGCTTCACTTCTATATGCTTAGACCTTTCATGAAAGGCCTAGTTCCTGCTTAAGTGAATTATGCTTTGGTTATCATCAAATACAGTTACAGCCATCTGATGTATGCCAAGCTCTCCAGTCATGCCCTTTAGCCACATAACCTCCTTAATAGTTTTTGTAACAACAATGTATTCAGCCTCTGTTATTGAGAGAGCCACAACGGATTGAAGGTTGGACTTCCAGCTAACTACAGTACCGAATATAGTGAAAATAAATTAAGTCAGTGACTTCCTGATGTCAATGCTTCCTGCATAATTAGGGTCCATATAACTGACTACCATTTCATCTTTGTTCTCTTGCATCTTAAAGAGCAGCCCCTAATCAGTAGTACCTCTTAAGTATCTAAGGATCCATTTTAGTGCTTCCCAGTGAGCCTGCCTAGGATTTTCCATCAACTTGCTCCCAAGAAAGTCGCAAGACAGCAAAGCGGGAACTACAAAAACCACAAAGAAAATGCAAACAAGAACACTAATAACTTACGTGGTTCGGTCCATAAGACCTACATTCACGGAAAAGAAGGAAATCAAGAAACAATTCACTAAGACAATCTTGAAGATTACACCGCACAATTTCAAGGACGAACTAATCTCCTCAAGCTCTCTATCGATCTTGATCTTGATACGAACTTTCTTGGTTCCTCATCTTGCTCTCAGAATTTTTTCTCACCCTTCACCCTCTCAACTCATATATATCATTACATATATATAGACTAATGACCCATACAAGATGACCGGTTGAACATCTTTAAATAGTCAAATGATCGTTGTATCCATTAGCTATTTAAACTTCCTTATAAACTCGACATTGCCTTAGTTTGCATAATTAGGAGTCACCATAACATGAATATTTTTCCCATGAATGAGCTTCTTGATATCAACCTCACTCCTGATGAAATTCCTGTTGTCACCAACTGCTGTTGAATCTCTTTCTTCATTCGGTCGTAAGTAGGAAGCTTCTCAAGTGCTGCCCACTTCAGATTTTCTTCATCGTCCGCCTATATTGTGCTCCGGCAGAATATAATAGTTGATCGCAAAAGCTATCGAACATCTAGCTCCGACGGCTTTGTTGGTCACACCAAAAGTCATCGACACCAATGCTGAGGATACCAGCCATCTTGAAGAAGCGGCGGAGTGAATCGAGTAGCATTGCACGTCACTGGTTTTAGATAGTAAATCTTTGAGAGGTAATGTGTCTATCTAATGGAAGAGATTATAAAGCGTGAGTTTTTAGTAAAGATGAAGCCCGGGATAAAATATTGCATCCAAAGTGTGAATATAGCTTGCATTGGAAGCCAAGGTGTGAGCTTGGGCTAACTTGGATTAACCCAAATGTGCTGGGTTTGGTCAGCCAATCATCAAAGGAAGCTTCTTGATGAAGTTATTTGGTAGGGATCAAGTGCATGGGCGATTAGCGCCAATTATTGGTGCCATAAACTCCAAATATAGATACATTAGATTTTATATAACCTAAATCGTTCAAATAACATTAAAGTACCGCTATGTTAACTAGGTTAAATACTTCTTTTGAGGCATAGGACACGCATAAATGATGTGACATATATATTTGTAGCTTTAATGTCAGACATTTATGTAAATACAAAGAATTGAATGGTATGCATGTAAATCCTCCAAATATCACTTTCATGGTAATAGTTTCAAGCTTCAAAATTATTTCAATTGACTTGCAAAAATGTGAGATCCCGCTTAAAGATTTACTTACGTTGATTTTATGTAGTTATAAAATTTAATTTCTTAACTTTTATTTTCATAAGTTTAATGTTATGAGATTGATGCGTGACGGGAAATTTGTGGTGGTAGGGTAATAGATTATCGTCTGAGTGTTTCACAAGAATTCAACACACTCAAATGAAAGAAAAAGTCAATAGAGGTAACTGAAATTTTTACGTGAAAAACTCAGAAAGGAAATAACTACGATGTCTGACATAGTTGAAGAGATCCATTGTAACTTGATAATTACAGTTATAACCCCTTGTCCCACAACGTAGGTGCGCGAGATGAACTTGTTGTAAGAAGCGGACGAAGACCGATAATGATTGACGGCAGCCAGTGACAAAGTAATGTTGGACTTCAGCTCCTTCTCTAAGTTTTGTTCTTCTTCAAGCTCGAACATTCTCATTTTCTCAAGAGAGGAGTTGGGCTCTATTTATAGAGTTTTGGTTGCAATTAATAAAGAAATATGAACAATTTTGATCAAATGACTAAAAAGATTCTTATATTCAGATGAAATTTAATGGACATTAGACTACCTTAATGATGTCAGAGTTTAGCAATTTTAACCTCGTTGGATTTATCTTGTCAAGACGCTCGATTCGATTATGAGCTCGCCAGATTTGACATTCATTTGACGTTCCAAATATACCCGAAAAAGCTTTCAACGATAGTTTAATGGCTTGATCGGGGCTTGATTTGACTCAAGTTGGATCAATTTTGGTATCATTAGGTTCGTCTCGTCAAGCTGATCAATTTGACTAAAGTTTGTCGAAATCAGAGTTCTGAATGACTTTTAATTAAAATTTGAAAGTTTCTTCCTCAAAAAATTATCTAATATTTATGTCATACCTTGAAATTCATGTCATTTGATAAAAATTTGTTGATGGCTAATAAGATATAAATCATACTTCAAATTTTATTGTTAGCTTAATTTTGATTAACTTAGTATAAGAGATGTAACAAGGAGTTTTATATGTTAAACTTGTTCATTACCCAAACCATTAGAACTAACCTATATAAGCAATTACCTGTTCGGGCTTGTAGAAGGTCAAGCGTCCGAGCTAATAGTCGAGCATAAGTGTATAACTGAGTTAAGCCAACTCATCAGCTTGCTCAAGTTTGGACTCGAGCATTGAATTTGATGTTCGGGCAAGTCAATTCATCAGCTTGCTCATGTTTGGCTCGATGCATGACTCGAGCATTGAATTTGATGTTCGGGCAAGTCAAATTTGTGAAGATTTACATATATACCACTCAATTGTTATGTATTTACATATCTAACACCTAAATTTTAATTTTTACATGCATGCCACCTTCCTTGGATATAAAAACGTGTATTTCACTTTTTAAAATATCAAATGGTGGCATTTTTGAAAAGGTGTTAAGTACCTTAATACATAAGAATTGGGTGGTACGTACGTAAATCCCCCATTAAACAATTAATCTTTAAAAATCGTGCAAATCAAAGTGCCCCAATGTTGATATCTTAATAAATCTTGATTAAAATACTTCAAATTTGAATATTCTAATCAAAGAAAAGATTCTTAATTTCTCCGCAGGCTTAGTACTAAGATTATCTAATTTTGTTTATATGAACAGCTGTTAAGAAATTAGGAATAGGCGCCATCGCCCCATCCTGTGGCTTAGCTTTGTTTGCTTCCCCCTTTCTCCACCTTGGATTCATGGAAAAAGACCAAAAGCCAAAGATCAACATTTAGCGTGCAGATGTCATCACCGCCAGGTTAACAGAAGACCTGTCAGCTATTGTCGCCCGCCGGAGCCGCCGAGCAACGGCTTATCTGATGTGTTGGCCGAACGCGTCGGTGGAATTTGGAAGTGGACCAGTTGGTTCCTTCATAAATTTTTACTCCTTTGGATTAATCTGAATAAAACCTTAATTTGACTAAAATCGACTACAACTTGATCCAATTTTAATCCAAAGAGCTGTTATGCTTTATATTTAACGGGTTATAATTAGGGCTGTCAAAACGGCTCGTTGTTCGCAGTTCAACTCGTTAAAAAGTTCGTGTTCGGCTCGTTAATTTCGTTCAATAAGTTAGAGGTGGTTAAGAAAAAAAAA